CCTGCACCCCGGCCGTATCTAAAGCCTATCCATGGGTTCTCTTCTGCTCATACAGCCGACTATATAAGGTTCTTTGGCTATATAAGGCCACTTACCGGAGTATTTTCAAGTGTGTGGGCTTCTTGGATCAGCTGCAGCACCATAGTAGCTGATGCCCAGAGCTCCCCACGTCAGTCCTACACCAATCTGTTGCACAGCACATGGCCTGTGCACCAGTTTCCTGCTTGCACATGCTGTGTAATGAAAGGTACCATTTCATTTTGGACAGATGCACGTTCGCTAAATTGCCTCGTTTACAGGCGAGTACATATTTTGGAAGTTAAATCATGCAATTTGTGGGAAATTCAACCTGAAGATGTTGAGAAAGTTTACACTATAAAGCCTTAGCTTTGCAGAGTTTCAGGGATGAAAAATAGGGAACCGAAAGGAAGTCTAGTTTTGTTTTAACAAGGCTGTCAAAATATTTGGGTCTACACAACTGGTTAAGGGTGGCACCCCGTAAATCTAAGCTGGAAGGACTTTCTGTCTTTGTGTCATCAAAGAAAGCCTCTGGTGGCTAAGAGAATCCTTAATAAATATCTCTGTGCACTCTTTGTATGATTTAACACATTAGCCAGATGCTGGTCTGATTCATTTGTAATACCAAAGTAAACATCTCTACTCTTTTCCCTTTTAATGACAGTCGTTCAAATCAATAAGGTGCTTTTTAACTGGGGGAGGAAGTGAAAAGTCGTTGCTAATGCTCCTCGTACATCACTGTTTACATTTGTCACTCTGTCAGCTTGCCACACCCCTCGTCTTCCAAGTTTGACGAGAGAAGATTTATTTGTCTGGTTTGTTTAATTTCCTAAAATGACACGCAGACTTGACATTTCCAGTTTAGACTGCCTTTGGCTGTCTCGGCACAGAGTTTGGACAAACAGGACATCGCATGTTTGTTTATCCCACTTTGTCCTTTCCTTTGGGAACTGGCCACTGTTCTGTCAGTTTTATAATCCTACAATAACATGGACCACTTTCACTAGATTTTACAACTAAACACTGTCCCTTCCTTCAATGTATAACTGGGAGCAAAAATGACTAAACAAAAGCTAAATATGTACAGAGAGAGCGATGCCTTTCTCCCACAGGTCTGTGCAGGAACACTTAATTCATAATATTAATTTGGTAACGGGTAAATGTTTCAGTCTAGCTTCAGTCTTTGTGATGAAGTGCAATTACTGAGCATAAACATTTTCTGTCTGATAAGACCGATTTGCTTAGTCACTCGAGAGCCTTAAGAGCAAAGAAATGACTCACACCGGAGCTTTTATTGGAACAATAATTGAAGTCAGATCCTGGAATATTTGTGAGGACATGTGGGCTAAACTGCAGCCTGGTTATTGTAATGGAAGCCTGTTATTTCTTGGAACCCAGCAGAGCAGAGCTAACGTTTTCCCAGTGTTTAGTCATATTAAATTGGTGTATAGTTATTATTTCTTTTACCAGTAATTTCAACCATGCATTGCTAAATGTCTAGTTATCGTCTGCAATGTCTGAACTGGGTCCATTATCATCATTTTGTTTCTTGGGACTTTTTTTTTCTCTCTATGCAGACAATTCATGCAGAGCTCTCCAAGCTGGTGAAGAAGCACTCAGAGCAGAGGGGAGCAGAGCAGGCCATGTACAAGAAGATGTTAGGAAATCCTTCAAAAAGCGGCACGACAAAATCCAGAGCCAAGTCTTCATGGGTAAGAAAGTCCTTAAAATAAAGCTGCATTGTAAACCAGGTTTTTTTTTTTGTTTTTTTTTTTTTTTTTGCACTAATCAATCATACAATTTCTCTGTATCAACTCTAATTGATCAAATGTATTTAAAAAAATTGTATTTGGATGCAGTTTTTTTTATTATTATTATTCCAAAAAATCTGCTCAAGCAAATTTTGGCATCTGTAAACATAGTCAATCATTGATAAAGGGATGCTAATTTATGTTGACTCTTTTGGGCTTAACTGCAGCATGTGTATGTTGGTCCATTTTTGTTGCCTCATGACTTCAACCTTCTCACGAGTCACCCCATGCTCGTCTATCTGCAGGGTCTCAGCTGGAAGTGGCTCTTTGGTGCGACTGCTGTGGCCATTGGTGGAGTAGCTCTATCTGTTGTCATAGCGGCCAGAAACTGAAGTGAACCAGAAGAGTCGAACGCAGTGGGGAGAGCCTAAACACTGAAGCACATCTGGCGGCACCTTCCACTCTCAGTGAAAGGAGGTGGAAATGTCAGGTGGCAAATCGCCTCTTCACTGTCACACTCTTTTCTCTACTATGTTTGAGAACTGTATGTGACGATTAATAATAATTACATATGGGAAAATGTTGTTTCCAACCTTGTAGATGTATAGGTTTGTGCATCTAACCTTTGTTCCAGCTTTTCCTTGTTCTTGGTAGTCGGTGTGAGGAACTGCTTGTTTGAAATAAAGACAAAATGAGAACAGATCGAGACGGAAGATATTTTTACCACATAGAAAATAAAATGCCAGTTATGCTGAGATATAGTTTAACAGCAGTAGATTGCGCTTGTAAAATATTTATTATCCAAGTGATGTGATTTCAGTTTATGGTACAGTGTTTCCTCTCAAACTGCTCCCTGTAATCTGAGGTCCATAAGATAGCAAGATAGTTGGTTGTGCGGTGGCCTGTTTACACTTTATACAGATTCTATATATAAATACATTAGCTGACCAAAGTAATCCCAACACACTTTGAAAGCAGTCCAAAACTGAATACCTTATGTTGATCAGCTTTTATGCAGTTGATTTTTGATGAGGTAGTTTTCTGTTTCACTGTTCACTAACACTATTGAGTAAAAATAAACACCAAGCAACATGCTTCAGTTAAATAAAACCTAACGATCTGCAGTCTTATCGAATTAACACTGACAGTGGCTTCAAAGTTGAAACAAAAAAGAAAACCGTTTTTCATCCTAGCTAGCTTATTACAGGCATATATTGTTAGGAGTGTAGCTGAAGGAAGATTAATTTCAATTTAATATTATATTATATTATTCAGTGACCAAGTGTTTCTGACTCTGACCATAAGTTTTCTTATTTTTTTTTTTCTTTTTTTGTAAGTTATTTTCTGATGTTGTTCATTCCAAAACCGAAACGTGACTCTGCTAAATGTGTGGTGTCCTTAGAGTAGATGTCAGAACAACGGAGCCACAAGCCGCATCATGCCAACAAAATAACTGTTCAGATGAGTTCCTGGCATTCTTTGCTCTTCTTAATTTTTGTATTGATTACAAATAAATATCTTATGAAAATATTGTTTGTTTTAATTTTTTTTTATTATTAGCTATTCTTGACTAATGAAATGTTGTGTTATGTCCAGCTGTGGTTAAATTGGTTAAATCTGTAATATCAGAGGAACTAAATGTGCTACTGTTAATTATATAGACGCTTCACTGGGACATTTCCCTTTCAGATACATTTGAGTCATGTTTTTCTCTTATACAGAAGAGAAGCAGAAGTCACTGGCTGAACATTTCCCTGAACTGATAAGTCTTGACATTCCAAAGGCTTCTGGATATCTGTTCACATTGTATGCATGTTTTAGATGACCTATCTTTCCTGCTTCCGACAGATCACTGCAGGGTCAAATTGGTGTCTGCACTGAGGAGGAAGTTTGACATCCATTCTCAATGGCCTGTAACAAAGTCAGAAAATCAGTGATTTCAGACCAACAATATTGATACTGTATAACATCATTCGACTAATCTCATCCTCAGTTCTGGACGGAAAAAGTTTAGATTCTGTTTTTTTTTTAAATTTAACTCAAGATTTTAGGAAAGTTTTTCTTAAAACAAATGGCAATGAAAAATGTTAAGCTACATCTAACTGACTAAAATACAATGTCATTGTTACAGTGTTTTAAAATTTCATAAATTATAAAGTCGGCTAAGTTGTATCTTTTTGATGAAGGGTTTTGAAAAGTCTGTAGCATAATAGTTGAAATTCTTCAAAAATGCTTTTGTACATTTTTATTTGTATAAGAAGTGTTTGGTAAAACAAAATTATTGAAGTTAGATGAGTGGTTCCCAAATTTTCCAAATTCATTTCCACAGAGTAACCCCAATCTATTGGTTAAACATACAAGCATTACTAGTCAGTCAATTTAAATCCAGATGGCAATACTAAGAGTTTAAACAACCAAACTGTATTAGTATTTGAGACTAGTTCACGTCTTCATATATTGTTTTTATTTTTATTTTTTAAGAGTATCTAAGTTGTGTTTGCAACCCCCAACTTCAGGGACCACAGAGTTAAATGATTATAGTAAACATACACAGGTAAAATGGATGAGCATAAGTACTTCAGTAATTTCAGATAAATTAATGTGAAATTCTGGTTTTGTTAAAGGCTGTAAATAATACTAAAGTTTTCTTGGTTGGAAAAAAAAAAGTAGAGCTATGCATTTTGGATGGTAAGTTAATCGTTATCAGTTGTAGGCAAATTGGGACGGAATGCATCCAAAAATTAATTTCAATTAATTTTGTTTCTTTGGAAACATACATTATTTATTCTGTCACCGCTGTTACTTATAATCTAAACGTATGATGGTTGACAAATTGTTTTGCTTCACACTGCATAATAAAATCTCTATGTCCTTCCCATGTAAGGGACCTTACACCACTTCTATTTTTAAAAGGCATTCGGTTTTGTGGCTAGTGTGCAGATAAGTAAAAACAAATATCGGCAAGATTTTAAAGTTGCGCCAAGTGATATATGATAGTCATATATCACCCGATAATCCATTTTACTTGAGGTCACCAAACTTTTTAAGTTCTCACAATAATGTCGCAACACTGAGGAAAAAAGTATTTATTTGGACAGTTATCAGAAAGATATATGTTCCATATAAGATTCCTTTAATTTAACTTAATAACAGACACGTTGTTATATAAAAGCATACGGTTTTAGTAAATGTAACTGCACTGGCTTCCTCGCAGATCAGTGACTTCATCAGTGACCAGCCACTGAATATTCAATGAAAAGCAATGGGACTTCTCGGTTTACGACAGAGTGTGGGAACGGTGGGTAAGATGGCGGCGCTGAAGGAGGAGCAGTGCTACGGACTGTCCTGTGGAAGAGTGAGCAACGGCAGTAATGTCACCGTCTTTCACGTTAAACTCACTGACAGCGCGCTGAGGGCGCTTGAAGGCTTTCAGAGCAGCAAGGTAATTTTGTTCTTTGTGGCAGCGTGTCATTCTGGTTCGGGTCTGAACTCTTTTCCTGTCGGCAGTGACAGACACAGAAGCAGGCAGGCAGGCAGAGGGAGGTCAGTCACCGCTCTGTCTGCCGCTGCCTTCAAAGCTGAAACACACTGCAGCTTGGTTTATAAAGTCTGTCTTGTTTTGAGTTGGAAATGTTGTAGCGAGGCTATTTTTTATTATTATTATTTTTTTTAACTTCACGTTGACCGTAGTCTCGCATTTATCAAGCTCGCTGCTTCTCAACACAGAGCCTCAATGGTTATTTCATTGGATTAAGGTGTTTGGTTTGGTTTGTGCAACAGTTTTAACTTAATTCGCCCCAACATGAGTTGGGAATTAATCTGACAACGAGGGGAGAATCTAGGCTGTCATGTGTCGATGCTTCCAGAAACTTTGTTGAGCTGCAAAGAAATGTTTGGCAGACCTTTGCTAGCAGAACTAGCCTGCGACTGCCTGGAAGCAGTGAGGGTTGGAGCTTTTAAATCGCCTGTTCTGAACTAACGCCTTCTTATAAAGTAGTGTCAGGGGAAAGTGTGAATTGGGTTGACTGTCAAATGACGACTCCGTGAATAATTATGAGAGAACAGCCAGCATTCATGCGAGAAGTGTCTATTTCATTTCCCAACCCCCTCAGTTCCAGTAAATGCTCACGTACTCATCACAGCCTAAAAATTGCGTCAAACTTAAAAAAAAAATGTCTGATTTTATTTTATTTTTGTTTTATACGCATCAACGTTCGCTTTCAAATAATCTACAACCATTACGCCAGGGCTCCTTCTTGCTCGCTGGACTTTCTGTGCCCAGAGCTTTAAGTCTGTTTGTGGCCATCTAATGTTTCAGCTTCTATAAATATTTGACAGGGAAAACCTGACAGGGCAGGAGGAAAGGGCCTTATCTCCAGCTTCAGCGGCTGTCTACAGCAAGACTGCAGCTGATAAACCAAAACAAATAAACTGGAACAGGTAAACTCGGTGCTAGTAAGAGGGGTTCTCTCTCAATTGCATTGCACAAGTATTTGCGTTCGCCAAGAATGTTCAACTTTATTTTTCTTTGGAGATACAGAGAACCATTTTACATCCGATACAGAAACTTCTGTTTCAGATTTATGGTCTTAAAGCTGCTTGCCACACTTTTTATGTAAAAATCAGTGAAATTCTCTTTAGCTCTGGTTTGTTGCCTATAGAACACAATGTAATTGTTAGTTTATTTATTTATTTTTATTAATTGTACTTCAATCAAGTTAAAATCTACTCTACCCAGAAATAAGCTTCCACACACATGCCAGTGACATCACATTTGGCAGCTAGGAGGTCATAGTTCTTATTTATATTTATTTGGATGTTTTTGAATAACGTTACTCATTCAAATGATCTGAACTTTGTAAGGCAGCAGTAAAACATTCAGGTCATGTAAAAACAGACCGTAGGGTTTCAGGAAAATGTGGCTACAGTGAAGCACATGGAAGCAGTTTAAGGATAAGGGAAATCTAGAATGGCCAGATTTCACTTGTAGAACAGCCTGTACCAGAGGGTGGCAACATCCACAATTCAAAGAGCCATTTTTTTCCCCCCTTCTCAAACTAAATTACACATAATCCTTCAAACAAACCTACTGTTTGTTTATTTGTTTTGCTTTTTATGGCTAAGTTATCAACATTGTATGTCCATTTTTTTTAGGTTTTAGAGCAGAGAAAATCCATTAAGCCATTATAGCAAGAGAATGAATGCATCCTAACAGCAAAACATATTTAAACATGGCGACAAAAGACAAACCTTGTACATTCAGAAACACTGTTCAGTTCTATTTGCTCCGGGAGCAAAGTTATAAAGGGCTACTGTGGAGGAACTTAAGAGCTGCATGTGGCTCCAGAGCTGCAGGTTGCAGACCCCAGCAATCATCATTCTAGTCAACAGTGGCAGCCGGTGAGAAAAAATCTTGCTGTGTCAGTGCATTTTTTTCCTTCATAGTTCATAATGATTCAAACTACTGGAACTGGAAAATAACTATAGCTCCACAACAATATAGCATTCTTCATTCTTCAAAATAACAAAAAGGGTCAGTTGAACTAAAAGTAAAAGGTCTGTTGGGTAACTAGCAAAATATACAGGAAATCAGTGACAACGGTTAACACTGAGTCCGACTCAAAACTGTGAAAAATACCAAACTACTGTATGACTGCCAAGAAGTGTAACTCTGAACAACCAGGCTAAATTCTGTTGAAATTGAACTTTTGAGTATCAATTAATGACAGCAGACAGCAGTATGGGATGACATAATCATGACTACAAACATTAACCGAGAAATCAGTAGGACTTTACCAGGCACCACTTCTGTGGTGCAGGAGGGAAATTCACAGTTGAATAGTCACTTGGAGGAAATGTTGTGCAAGTAACTCAGATTACATTTAAGCACACACTATTAAGGAAAACTTAATAGTGTATATACATAATCATGTATATAAATAATATTTTTTACATTTAAATTTTTCCCCCTTCCAAGTTTGGAAGGGCGGCGCCCCCTATGGTCCAGTCGCCACTGCTAGCCAGCATCAGAGAGAAGAAGTCGGAAAAAACATGCCATTGCTGTGCAGTCAGAAAGAGGGAAGTTATTCATGTCGGAGTTTGTACTGCTTGTATTAAAACTGCTAATGGCAAATACAATTTAGGAAAGACTCAAACTGAGATGTAGGGCTTCAAGATATTGGGGAAAACATTCATACGTGATGAAGAAATTCACTTTTTGCTCACTACACTTTCTTTTTTAATAATTACAAAGTCTCTGCCATTCTGCCTGAACTTTAGCATCTTGCAGCCTACCAAATCATTCCCCCAAACCTTTCTTTGCAGTTGAAATATTTACTACATCTATGACAGCTGTGATTGTGATGGCATGTAAATCAGAGATGTTGGTTCCTATCTGTGTTGCTGATTATTCTAGTTATTGGTGTGTTCCTTCTTGCAGGTATTTATCACAGGTTGTCTTTAAGTCGTACATCACTCGTACATTAGGTACAAACTTGACTGGATTTTGTTATTGCTGATGGAGTCACAGGTATTGGTTTGACGGTAACCTCTCCAGGGCTTGTGTGTCAGTTTAAGCAGCTACACTTCGGATTGTTATCGTCTGGCGTGACTGTCGAAGATGGCGTTCATCAGTGCAGACACACAAGTTTGTCAGCCGCTTAACTTTGTGCAGCTGTCAGGAGAATATTACACCATTGATGAAAGGGACTGATAAACTGGAGAGACGGACTCGGCAGTGACGAACCTGTTTGCAGTTTTCATCCTAAGCAGATAAGCAGACTTGCAGCCACCGTGGCCAAGTTCATTATAGGTTAACCGTGTCTTTATGCTTTTCCCACTTATTACACTTAAAACGCTTACTCAGGTTTATTGGATGGAGTCTACCACCGCATAATCAAATGGGTTCATGAAGGGCTTGTTTTGTTAGGAGTGCTTTAAGCATTGGCATGGAAATGAGCACACGCAAGATCACCTGGAGAACGGAGGATTATGTTTGAGTCACTCTTTTCTTTTGGGTATGAGGAGTGTCTTTGGTAAAGGTTTAGGAGATCTCAGTTTGCATTCCAGATGAATTTAAATGACAATTATAGACGATGGGGAAATTCATGCAAATAAGTTCTTGTTTTAAAATATATGTTTCATATGGGTATACATAGCTGCACTACAATTTGCCTGTTTCATTTAAAACGAATACTTAAAGGTTATAAAGGAGAGCTTGAAATGCTTTTGAAGAATAACAAACTTATAGTATTGCATGACAAACCAACAGTATCGTAGGATTTGCCTTTATGCTTAGCTGAACATCAACAACGACCAACTTAATCACCTTGCTTAGACAGAGGCTACGTGCAATCTAAGTAAAATTAATCTCATGTTTCTTTGTAACACCCTAGACTTCAGCCTCAATTGTTTTCATTGTGACTCAGACATTTCCTAAAGTATTTGCACGCCTTTGGCTTCGTCATAACCCGAACACTGGCTGGTACCCAGCTGCAGCAGCGGGTTGGACAAGGTAGAGAGTTAAACTCTTAATTGCATCACTGTGCTGTGACTAAATATATCGTGTAGACACTGAAGGGACAAGACATTTTATTTTTTTTCCCTTTCAGATATTTTCAGCTTATGCCTATTTAAGCTAGCCAAATGCAAAATGCTGGCTCAGGTGCAGAGCTTGTGCAGTTTGCTTATTGGCGTCAGAGTATTTCTCATGTTGTTTCTGGACGTTGCGCAACATCCACGCAGCAGCCATGGCGCTGTCTGTGTAATGAGTGCTTCCTGTAAGAGACCTGGCTATCAGCTGGGTTCCTCTCTCTGCACATTTGAGGACAAAGTTAACCGGAGCTCCTGCTGTGGGACTTGGAGCCCAACACTCACTCTTCCTTTTAATCATGTTTGTATTTTTTTTTTTTTCCTTTAACCGGGTCTGACGCAAGTGAGGAAATGAGTAATTCTGCTACCAGCGTCATCCAGAACGGTTTCTAGAGAGCGGATGAGTTTTTAATAACGCTTTTTCAAATTGTATTGAGACAAAGTGTGATTCAGCCGTGCTCAAGAGTACTTTTTCTCTTTTTTTTTTGCTATAAGGAAGCTAAATATCAACTGGCATTTGCAAGTTTTTCAAATCTAAATTATTTCATAATTGCTGGCATTGTCGTGTTGCGGTCTGGAATATGTGATCTGGTTGACATCTTTCTTCATCCTTTCATACAGATCGCACCAAATGTATTTCTGCCAAATTGTGTCAGCAATTGAGTGTAGAAAATGTCAAACTGAAAACCACTGACCCCTATAGAAGTGTACACAAGCAAAAACAAGCAAACCTTCTCCCAGTGTTTAGGCAATACACATGTTTAGCCATCACAAATATCTCTGTGTGAAGTAAGGCTTAAATTAATTTTGTCAAACTATCAATTGTATATATGAAACCAAACTTGTGACCCT